CTAAGATGGGCGAAACGGAACAAGCCACCTGCGAACTTTTTGGGGAGAAGGAGAACAAGCCGTTGGGCGACGAATCGAGTCTGGACAGCCTCCAGCCTTGATCTAACCTTGTAAGCGGGACTTCCGCGAGATGGCCCAGGCTTTTGTTGAGTTTTGGTGCCTTGAAGATGATTTGAAATATTTCAGATTCAGACAGCTAGAAGTCAAATCAATCTCAACAGGAGAGTCCAGTGCCACATGATACAGTTTACGCCAGTGAAGCTTTGATTGCCGGCCGCTGTGTATAGGTGACCGTCTGCGGCATGCTTGGTCCATCGAGTCGGCTCCGGGCTAGCGGTAACGAGGGTCCAAACGATGCGAATCTGGGGCCAGCATTGCCGAGAATTTGGCCGGCGTAGTACGCGGCCGAAGCTTCGTAGGTTGCCGAACGTTATGCGTTGTCTGTTCGAAGGAATCGGGAGTAGACGAGGTGCATGGCTTATGGGACATCGGCAAAGGAGAGAATTCACAGATGATCGTGGACCCTTTCCCACGTGAATGAGAGTTTAAGAGCCCGCGATTTTCAACTGGAAGCGAGCTCTCGCTTCCGATCTCTCTCTAGTAAACTTAGAAGTAGGTGAGAAGAGACTCAAGCTTCGAGGGGTAATGGTCCAGAGGCTCTTGGCATCTCATTCATCGTTGCGGCCGTTACGACGACTTGCTCGGCTTCGTGAACCGATTGGCTTCTTCTCAGTACCCCGCAGCGGGAGATGTACGTGGCCCGCGAAGATCAGGCCCGCGCTCAGCTACCATTTTAAGCTAGTCATGCTCACTGTCGAGTCTAAAGTTGCCCTACCCCGCGGTGATCGACTCGAATCCAGACGCAGTCGACAGGGCCCCTGAATCAGGGACTCTTTCGCCCTGCTTCCTGGAGCTCCGCGGAAGGAATAAACGCTGTCAGTGTTGAACGACGTGCGGACGGACTTTGTCGCTCTCGGGTCCGCTTATGGACATCATCTACTGCGTCGCCCTACTTTTCGCGCATGAAGACCAAGCTTTTCCGTCCGAAGTCTTTCGGAACACGCGTTGAAGGCATGCTACTCACCATCACATCCCGTCCCTACCTAACGGACCATAGCTAGGCTTGTATACCGTGAGTGTTGCGCCCGCAAGAACAAACCGGGCTTCCGAGATCATGAGAAACAGCCTCGTTTTTCTCGCACCCTGGAAGCCATCATCAGGTCACTGCCGACGACGGATTAAGACCAAGGCTGAGATATCGGCCGTCTCAGACTATCAACTTAACCTTATCGGAGAATTTTAGACTTATTCACTAGTCTAACAAACAAAAACATAGTCTCAAGAAGTAAATAAACATTTCGTGGTATTGAGAAACGTATTAAAGATGACAAGGCCTCCCGCTTTTCATTAGAGATGATTTCTTGCCAGACAGGTTGCGGACTTCATAGTTTACGAACCCAGCTTCCTCTAGCAAATCAGCCTTCCGTCTCCATCAGTAGTCTCCGTCACCTACCTCCTCACAATATGCCTTCCGTCAAAGCTTTGTTTGTTTCCGCTCTTGTTTCGAGCACCCTTGCGGCTCCTCTCATCACCCGTTTCGAGAACAAAGAAAATGCCGCAAGTGTCTTTGATGAGAACCCTCGGACTTCTCTAGAGACCCGCGATATCGAGGCCAGCGAGGACTACGCTGACCTCGAGGCCCGAGATGAGGACGAGTACGAGTATGAGTACGTCGAGGCTACTTCTGTCGCTGGCATCTCTGCTCGAGGTCTAGTGGACGGCGAGGAGTCTGGCGACCTTGAGGCACGGGACCTTAAGGAAGTCAGCGAGGTCTACTCGACGTTCCAGTCTCGTGACTTGGAGGTGGATGACGATCAGCATGGCACTCTTGAGTCTCGTGACAATAAAAAATCGTCTTCGAGTCGCACCTCTTCATCTCGGACTTCATCTTCGCGGAGCAACAACAACAATAACAGGGTTGACAAGGGAAGAGTCCAGAAGGAAAAGAACGAGATCAAGGATATCCAAGCAGATCAGAGAACGCAACATGCAAGCGGCAAGGCGAAGGAAGCCAAGGAGCGGGCAGAAATTCAAGAGGCTCGCGAGAGACAGAAGGGCGCTACGAACTCCCGAGACAAGGACGCTGCTAGGCGCAAGAAGCTTGAAGAGCAAGATTCCCTTGACAGAGTGAAGGGCCAGAACCAGAGAGACAAGGCGCGCCTCCAAGCCCAAAAAGAGAAGGAGAAGCAGGAACTGGCGGACGCCAAGAGGGGTGGACGTGGCGGCAGATTCGTTGAGACACCTGAGACGTCAACAAACTTCAACCCAAAATCTTATGGTGGCAAGTCGGGAACTTACAACGACTACAAGAATCCCAACTACCAGAACAAGGACAGTAACTATTACTCGAACCAGCGCAACAAGGACGATGAGAGAATCCGTCAACTGGAGAGAGACCGCGCGCGTGAGGATTCTCGTATCAACAAAGCTGAGTATAATAAGAACAAGAGCGGCGACAAGATCAAGAATGGAGAGTATAACAAGGACAAGGAGGATGAGGCAATCCGCAAGGCTCAATACGAGAAGCAACGGAGTGGCGAGCGCATCCAGGATGCGGAACGAGCCAAGGACAGGTACGGCAACAATGCAAACAAGAACAACTATGATCAGGAAATCCGTGCCGAAGAAGCTAGACGCCAGCGTGCGGACCAACAGATCCGTGAATCTCAGTACGACAAGAACAAGCAAGACCAGTTGATCAAGGCTGAGGAGGACCGCCGCACTAGGTACGACGAGCAAATTCAGAAAGCCCAGAACGATAAGGATAAGTACGGCGACCGCATTCAGGATTATGAGCAGCAACGCAGAGAGGACGAGAGGCGTCGCAATGGAGGGTACTAAGCTTCTTGTTACTTGAAACTGCATGTAGCCTTTGGGCCATAGACTGTATGCGGCCATGACGGATGATGGCTGAAGGGGCGGTGTATGGCGTTAGGAGGTGGTGCTACTTGTCCTTAATATTTAAAACTTACTATCCTTACGACTCCGAGGCAGTAAAACGGAGTTAATGAAACTTACTTTCCCGGACACTGAATGAGAAATATGTGCATGTATCCTCAGATGGAGTTGGAATGGTGCAACTCCAACTCATTCCCAGCGATAAAGCTTACGTATTGAATTGGCAAAGGTAAAGTAGAGATGTTTGCCTGTGTTGCTTGACCGGCTAGTCTCAATGAGAAGTGTGGTAAGTAAGTAAAAAAAAAAAAAAAAAACGATGTCGAACAATGGGACGGTTGAATGTTGACGAATGTACATCGGCAAACGATAATGGATCCATCTGATCTCGATGGCTGTGTACAACGAACAGGACTGGAACGGGGCCTGAATTAGCTAGAAGTGGACTCGTTGAAAAAAGATCATTGAATCACGTTATGGTAGTAATGCGTCTTGGCGAAGGGTTTTCGACTGAGCATTTGATGAGGCATGCATTGCGTCGCCGAGGTAAAAGTTCAAAGCCCGGCCAACATGGTTCATGACCAACTAAAACTTTTTCGCCTCCTATATTAATAGTGGCAACACGTTGAATTGATTCATTGAAATTTTGAAAGCTCATCACCATGCCTTCGTCTTAACAAGGGTCCCAAGTTTCCGATCTATTCCAGTGCTTGATTTACTATTCTAACTACGCCCCGTCACTATCAGAAGTTGTTAAAATGTCAGCCCGAAATACATGTAAAGTCGACATCGAGTCAATCAGGCCACTCGCGAGCTCCAGAGAACGCTTTGCTAATTCGGTAGGGTCACTGTACTATTCCCTACCTTTCCACTTCGGGTCGCTCGCTCTAGAAGTTCACCAGCAACTGGCTGACCATATCATCCCGCAGAGCCCTTTTGGCTACGGTGCATTTGCGACGACATTGATGACTCTATCACTGGCTAATATGGGTATTCGGAACATTGAAAATCAAGCTGTTTTCATCGCCAACCTCTGCTTCCTAGCTGGTCTGGGCCTCCTCATCTCAGCTCAGTGGGAAATGGTAAGGGGTAACACGTTCGCCTATACGACACTCATTGCTTTTGGTGAGTTTGTCACTCCATTGTTTTGATTTTATGACTCGACAAAGGACTGAAGCTCCCAGCATTTTACTATGGCGGTTATGGCTTCCTGCTGATCCCTTCGATTGGAATTGTCGACAGCTACGGTGGCAAGACGGAGCAATATTATACGGCTTTTGGACTCTATCTTGCTGGTTTGTTTGACATTCTCGCCATTTTCTTATTTTTCCGATGCTACAGCTTGCGACTGACTTTGAGCACTGTAACCAGTCTGGTCGCTTTTCAACCTCTTCTTTTTCATTGCTGCTTTTGCGACGTAAGTGCTGAACCTATCTGTTCTGGCGGGGCTCGCTGACCAGTGACAACTTGCAACATCAGGAACGTCGCAAACGTCATTGTCTATGGAGGCCTTGAACTTTCTTACACCTTGAATTGCTCAGCGAATTTCCTATTCGCAAGCGGGAACGCCGCGGCTGGTGGGACTTTGGCCAAGATCGCCGGTGGATTTGGATTTGTTGCTGCATTGGCTGGTTTCTACGTGATGGCCGCTGAGTTTTGCTGTGAAGTGCTGCCGTTTCATGTCCCGTTGGGCGACTTGTCACAATTATTTCCGAGGGAGAAGAGTCAGCGGCATCAGAGATGACATACGAATCTTGTGCGCCGAATGCTGTCAAAGGTCAGGTCTGGTCTGTAGTAGTATTATATGAACCAACCCCCAGCTCTTCCTACTGTGATAGTCGTGTCTCATCTCGGTTTGTTATTGAGGTTAGGAGAAGAACTCATGCAATTCATAAAGTAGACCGGCCCCGTTGTCTCTCGAAAAACCTACAAGGTGATCACGCCATGCGAACCCACGAAAGAGAAGTAGGCCGTAGCTCATGACCGAGTGGGTCAAACGCCGTCTGCACTTCATGACCTTCAAGTGGCCTGACTTAAGCCAGGGTTCAGCGACGAATGAACATACTCCAACTTCTAAAGTTGTTCACCATGATTGAAGTCATGTGCGTGTGGTTACCTAGGATTTGGTATTGCGTGTAATTCGGTTTTTGGTTTGGTTTGGGCCGGCCACTCGGTGCCGAGATCCACTCATTCTCGGGTTCTGCTGGAGCTGAGCCGGGGTTTGGGTCCGGCATTTTTCACGGGGACTTTCCGGCAAATTTGACCCGTAATGAAACGAGGGGAGAGGTGTTGTAAACTTATGATTTCAGAGACCCTGAAGTTGGTGCAGTCGGTGTTTGAAAATGAATCATGTGCTTCCTAGGAAGTATCGTCATGGTAACGGCCACACATGGTCTAGAGGTACCTGAGGAGGTACACTAAATATGTAGATACCTATGGAAATGGATGGCTACTGAATTTCTTACTAGACTCACAAGTGGGAATCATTTCCAAGAAAAAAGTTCCTTCACGTGGTACTGTATAGTCTATCCCGACCTTCTAATTCTTCAGACCTCTAAATGAACACGCGTCTACAGGTCTAGGAGCTTTTCGAAAAGCTCGCCGGAGTCGGCGTCTCCACCACCTGGCCATTGTGGATCAGCATATTGCCATCATCGTAGTCCGAGACAATATCCTCAATGTACGCATAATCAAGACCTCGCAACTCGTCCTCCACAGTAGCGCGCAGATGCATGCCCGGAATCTTATTTATGAGGAACAACAAGATGCAGGAGACAAAGAACGACCAGGCAGCGCAAGTCGTCGCGCCTGCCAACTGTAGACCAAGCTGTCTGAAGTTGCCATTCCACCAGCCGCCCTCATACGAGTCGCCGCTAACTCCGTCGAGAGCAGGTACCATCTTGTGGGCAAAAAGACCAGTCAGAATATCACCAACGTATCCACCGACACCGTGAATGGCAAAGATATCGAGACCGTCGTCGACGCGGAGGATATACTGGTATCGAACGGTGTAGAAACAGCAGATGGCTGTGATAATTCCGACAAGAGGTGAGACGTAGACAAGAACTATTATAGTTGTTAGCGCAAACATGGGAATGCAACGAGAAGGATAGTTTTACCGAAGCCAGCTGCTGGGGTGATACCGACAAGACCGGAGATGATACCCGAGCAGAAGCCAACCAAGCTGAACTTCTTCATGTACATGTAGTCCAACAAGGCCCACGTAACTCCACCACCACAAGCAGCAAAGTTGGTGTTCACAACGACATAGATGGACCGCAAGCTAAGGTTAGCCGTGCTAGCTCCGTTGAAGGCAAACCATCCAAACCAGATGAGAACGGTACCCAGAGTCATCAGCAAAGGGTTGTGGCCCCTAAACTGTGGGACGTGCCTCTTCTTCGTGGACGTGCTGCTGTCGTCGATGCGGGGACCCAACATCATGGACCAGGCAAGGGCTCCAAAACCACTGGCGATATGGACCGGACCGGAGCCCGCAAAGTCGTAGAGGCCGAGGTTGTACAGCCAACCGCTAGGGTTCCACTCCCAATATGCCAAGCTAAAGGGCAAATCAGCATTACTCTCATACACGTGTGCTCGATATCGAAGGTCTTGGACTTACATGTAGTAGACGAACGTGTTCCAGCAGAGGAGGAAAAGCATGCTGGGCCAGAGACGGCCGCGCTCGAGCATGGCACCGGCCAGGATCATTGCCGTAGCTGTAACAAAGGTGAAGCCAAAGGCAGCATCTGTCCAACAGACGATTATTAGTGTCTCCATCCCTATTAATATCGACCATCTCAGGAGATACTTGACTTACACAAGATGTCTGGGATATCACTGTTGGCAAACGAAGGAGAAGCCAGGAGATTGTGGAATGCGGCGTGGGACAGGTCGCCGAGGATAGGGTTCGTCGTGCGTGACTGGTACAGCGATGCACCGTAGATCCAGTATTGTAGGCCACAGGCGCATGCACAGAAGAGTGATTGGAGAACCATCGTCATGGCGGATTTCCTACGATGCATTCCGGCGTAGAGAAAGCCGATGGCCGGCGTAATCTGCCAGCACAGGATTGTGCATACCAGCACCCAGCAGAGGTCACCCTACGGATTGTTCACACGAGTTAGCGGGCTTTGAACCCCAATCGAAATATTTTTTAGGTCTTCAGAAGAACTTTTGTCAAATTCTTTCTTTACCTTGTCATAAGGCGCATTGAGGTCATGGGTGATTGGGTTGCCTCCCGTTGGGTCGGTGGCATAGTCCGGGAACTCGGTCACAGGGATGACTTCCGTCATGATGTATCACGACAATACTTCCAACGGAGAAATATTATGATGCAATGACTGAGATGGCGGGCAAGCGAAGGCAATGCTGCTTTTTTTCTGTTAAAGAACCAAAGCCTCGGAACGTCAACCTCAAAGCTTGACAGGACAACAGGGAGCCACTTAAAGCTTTCGTCAATCTTCAGATGTTGGCAAAGCTGCCATGCTGTCGGTATTGCTATCACTTGGCACCAGTACGAACCCCAGATAAGGTTGGCTCTGTAACAAAATTAAGCATGTTCACAATTGTCTTGGGCACTGGATGCCAGATAACACCACCCTCCCTGATTGGCTTATCCCTGATAGACGAGCTTCACCGGGGACACGAAAAGACCTATCTTTCTACTCAATCCAGGAAGCTCTCGAGCTGGTTTCTGGGCACCAAAAGTCTGGGCATTGCTAGGGGTGACTGGAAAGGGATGAGGATCAGTGGGTTCAACTGTCTTGCACCGTGAACCACGACCGGTCTAAACTGCTGGAAACGGATGCGGGAGCCTGTCCAATTAGAGTCAAGTAGAGCGGGAGGGACGCGGTTTGAAGGGCAGCCGTTTGGGTCCAACACGTGAAAAGGGGAAGGGCGCACGGCGTCATAAGCCATGTGTAACAACCTTAACGTAGGTACGGAGTATAGCTAAACATTGGCTTCTACCTAGTAGCACTGCAATGCCTAGGCAGCTGAGTGTCGTTTGATAGGAGCTTACGGATACGTGCAAGGAAACCCTGACAGCATTAGAGATGCACGGGCGCTGCGGCCTCCGCAGCCTCGAGCCGCGTGAGGAACGGGCTTGCGGGCACAGCCGGGGGAGCGTGGGAGACGTGGGAGACATCCAAGACAGGGTGGTCATCAAGCGGGGTCATCCCGCATCCCATGTTCCTGACCTTATCGCTGCATCATCAGTGGATGAGAGAGAGAGCCGGGTAGATTTAACAAATTGGGCTAGACTCTGTGACGCAAAATGGATCAAGGCTCAAGCTCTCGTCCGTATAATCTTTCCGGTTCCGGTGAGGGTGTGAAAGACGACGTCTTACCCTCCAGACTGTAACGCGCCGCATCATGCGGATGGTCAAACGGTAGCATAGAGGCGGCTGCTGGCTAAATCTACCAGATGCATCTACTCGACCCTGTGACTTGTGTTCTGAGCATCTTGATAGACCATAGTTGTGCTCGCGAGTTGCGAATACTTATCCCCTAGCCTCCAGCGACGAAAATGGACGTATCGGTGCTAAGTCATTTTGTATGACAGAGCAAAAGAATCGTCCGCAATGTCCTCCGCGATTGAACTCGGTGACCGTTATGCCGTCACAACAGTGCTTGGCATCGCCGCACTCACCAGTGCCCTCCTCTATCTCATAAGCAGTCTCATTGACAGCCGGAGGGTTTTCTCGAGGTTCAACCGCGCCCCGTCCTTCAGCCAGCCGGCCGAGAAGCCTTCCGTCACTACGGCCGAGAAACAGAGCTATGTGGACGCGTTCCCGCCGTCTCAAAGAGCAACAATTGCGGAGCTTGGACCACAATTCGCGGACGTCAAAGAGGTTGACCTCGCCGTGACACCGAAGCCTCTGTTGAAAGTGGATGCCGACTACCGATCCGCCGACCCCTCTCTGTTCAACTTCAGTGGCTTCAGCATTGATGACATTCAGAAACTCGGCGACTTTCCAGACTATGCAACTATCTCAGGTGTTCCGTTGCCGTCGCCATTGGCAGATTTTGACATTGACAAGGCCGTCCCGCGGCCCTACCGACCGTTTAGATGGGCTTATCATCAGACCATGTGTAAGTCCCGCCAGGATTCTAGAAATCGTGCACTCAAACTCATATGAAGACTGCCAGCTTTAACCAAGATGGATACGGATTTCTGGATCGAGCTTGAAAACACATACAGGGAGCGCGTTGCCGAGCGCAAAGATCTGTACGCAAAGAATGGCAGTCATGTTCTCGATAGCATGCCCGGTTCCGAGCTCGCCTGCAAAGAACTTATGGAAATGGTCCTTCAGTTTATCTGCGCAAGATATCCCAATCAATTCAAGCTCGAGGGTAACATCTTGCACAACAACATTCTTGGGACAACGACAGATCTCTCTGCCACTGAGCCACTGATTGTGCTCTTGGACAATGTCCCTGAGGACTTTGGAATCATGCTTCGAGATCACGAGACTGGAAAGTATGTTCTGAGAGCCGGAATAATATGCTCCTCTGTTGGCTGGAAACTCAGTGAAAAGGTGGGCTTGGGGCTGCCAGGCATACACAAAGTTGTCCCAGACTACAAAGAAAAGATGGAATTCAGCATGGATCGGTAAGACCCCAATCTGAGTGCGGTTGATGGTTCAATGTTCCTATCACTGACATAGCTCTAGATTCTTCACTAAGATGCCCACCAACAAACCCATTCAACGTGGTTCATGGGGTCTTGAGAAAGGCCAGCCGCTGTATCTTCCTTCCGAACACCCCGAATTTTCCCATCGCGAGCATCAAACTCCTAGCCTTCAGCCCGAAGAGGTTCACCTACGCGTCGACTGGCAGACCTTGCGCCGCCTCCCGTTGTCTGGCGGCGTTGTCTTCAATTTCAAAGCCCTGTTCACGCCATTAACTGAGTTCAAAAATGAGCCTTATATTCCTTCTTTGGTTCTCAAAGTGTTGAACGAGGGTAAGGAGAGCCTCTTGAAATACAAAGGAACATGGCATGTAGAGCACGTGGTCAAGCCGACTTTGAAGGAGTATGAGAAGTATCAGGTTGAGAATGGTCTGATTGAGAAGGATTGGGAGCCGCAGACCTTAGCAGAAGCGCCTTTCTTCAAGGGCTGGGAGAAGAAATGGACTGTCCAATGATACAACATGTATTTCTACTACAACGCATAGCCGACATCTTTATGAGAATTAACAAAGTCTCAAGAGTCTCCAGATCACGCTGTCACAA